GAAGTCTAAATTATGCCAGTTGAATATTATGACAATCGTTCTCTGCTGCAGAGACTGATAACAGACAATCTACATTTAAAAAAAGCTATAGTTGAGTGAGGTTATATCTACACTGCTGTTTCTGTCCGAAAATGCATCAGCTGGCATCCACACTACTCTGGAGGTTGAGAGACGCTAAACCTGTTAGTTTGAAAACCCTGGGACCATGTTTTATTCTGGGCAGGCAGAAAAGGAGATTTTTGGAAATGATGACAATCACAACCGCTTGCTCACAACACAGACTTTCCTGATTCGCCAGGCTCCTATCACATTATCCCCTTCCGACAGAAAACAACCAGCATTAGCCTCGGCTACCAGTGTAGAACGTAACACTAACAATGAATTACAAGGGTTGCTGACTTTGTCGTCTTCACTAACAGCTGTTCTACAGTGAAATTCTGTATTTTACCACGATACAACTGTTTACGCGTAGGAGACGAGCTATTATTCAAGCTATTATTCTGTGACAATTCTGCAACTACTAAATCTGTGATTAAAACTGAGCCAAAAGGCTTGTATGGACACAGATTGCTTTTTCAAATGAATTGTAGTATGGATGTATCTTAAATCTGCCCACAGCAAAGACTGCACTTAGTTCACTCAGTGATGTAATGTTGTTTTTTGGAAAACAAAAGGATTTTTAGATAATTATTATTACGGATATGTTTAAATCTTTTTCTCTTCCAACACACACCCAGTTTTACCAATGATATCATAGCTTTTAAGATCCAGTTGCTATGTTTGTGCACCTGTGTATGAAGGAGAAATGCTCCATGCTGATGCACACAGCAAAACTAAAGCATCTGTGAACAACATGAATGTTTCTGAGGAGTTTTCCCTGAGGATTCAGCTCCTGCACCGCAGAGGTGGAGCGACTTGGCCTCTCCGCTGTCACACTTTATGCCTTCATAACACAACGCTGACACACACAAAAGGAAGGTAGCACTTCCCCTTCTCCTGGTTCAGGCCTTCAGAAGCTACACACAGATGTACGCAGACCACCATCGACTTCATTGGACTGTTTCTTCAACATTGGCTTCTCCTTTACTTTCCAGGTGCATGTTGTCTTTGTCAAAAGACCAAAAATATTTACAGAATGCACTGAAGAGTGGGCATTAGTTTGTAATCAACAGATAGACATGGTTCAGACTGATGATCCGTGTTGTAGCTGGGGGTTTCATCTCACACAACACGTCAATGATGCAAACATTTCATCCACCTGAGGGTTAATGACAGATGAGTAGGTAGGTTGCACCTAAACCACTAAACAACCAGACTTTCAAAGAATTGTAATGCTATTGACTATAAATCTGCACTCGAACAGTGTTGTGAATAGCATTTATATGCAACCTAAAACCTATGTGTGCATAATAAAAGTTAGAATTATTGTGAATTACTGTCAGAAATTCAATCCATATTAAGACATTGCTGCTGCAACTTGATGTCGGTTAAATTATCAATCCACCCCTGACAGCATGTGGGTTTAGACATAATGATTTAAATTTTTTGATCTTAAATTGCATTCTAGATAGATGCTCACCCCCGCTGAACAGGAGCACCCCACAGGATGCTCCAACCCAGTGGATCTAGGATAACCAACGTTATTCATCTGATATTTTATCTGTGAATGGGTCAGAATGATCTAGTTCATCTGTGTAAACTTAAACTACTTGTTTTCCAGGTTACATGTAATCTATTACTTGTGTGCAGGGTTTGTACCTTTGCGTTGTTGTGTCTCTCCCCTCTATCAACATCCTTCTCTTTCTTCTTCTCCTCTTTTTTCTTATCGCGCTCCTTCTGAGGAGAAAAGAGAGATGTGTAAAGCTTAGCTTTAGATTATATTAGCTACACTTTATATTATACAATTAACGTGTGAGACCTTTAACCCCCCCCCACACACACACACACACACACACACACACTCTTGTTTTGATTTGAGAGTTGACGAGATCTTTGGAATCACTAGAGACGAGTGTGTGTATCATTCACAATATCAAGAAATATTTTTACAGACATTTGTATTATTTAATGACGTACAGTGCAGACACAGATATAGATGGAAACAGTTCTGTTTAGCCCACAGTATGTCACACTGACAACGCACATGTTCGTGTCATAGAATAACATAATTAGCATTCGATTAGACACTCTTCCTCATTGAATCACCATCTGACATCCATCATAACTTCCTATAGGAGGAAACATGAGGCCTAATGGTAAACATTTGCTATAGCTCACAGCAGGTTATAAACAATTAGATCTCATTCCTTAATGTGATTTTAATGCACTCACAATGTAGATTTAATGTGCAGACATTATTAGTGTGCAGAGAGTTGATGGAATGTTTTCAGGTTAATGGCTCCGTCTTGCTTTGTTATATGTAAATGAGCCGCTGCTGATGCCAGCCACCGTCAGGCTTTAGCTAATGACTGCCAGGATACCAAAGAGAAAGGCTTTACATTCGTGGCTGCAGCCGGCAATCCAGCTATTATTGTCTCTCTGTGTCTCTCTCTGTCTGTATGCAATTACTTCATTCGTTTTCCATGTGTTTACGGTTGTTTAGTATGCCGAGGGGCTTATTTCTCTTGAGAGCACAGTAAACAGTCGAGCATATCATCAATATTTAGGGTCGTGCAAATCAGAATAAGCATCTAAAGGATCTGCAACATTCTACACGCACAATCTGTTGTGCTCTTGAGTGAACATATACAGCGGAAAGTGAACGGTCAGTGGTTTTCTGATTTAGCTACATTATAAAATCTCCCACACACCGAAAGTCAGGGTCTAATCTCACAGCTTACAATGTTTATTTCTAATTAAATTTCAATTTTTGAAGATTTTTCATGGCAGCAAACTAATATAGAAGCCTGAGATTGGAATGCGTTCTGCTACAACTGGTCTAAAGTACATTAACCGAACTGACTGATGACTTAATACTCTTGCATATAGGTTGTTACATTGTGGCTTCGTCTTTGTTAACGTATCCATCAGTTAGTTTCGGTATATTATCTCTGAGGCTCTGGCAGGCACTAAGTCTTTGACTCTATTAACTATGTGTTAATGAGGCTAGCATTGGGCAATTTGCTCCGGCTGCATTAGCAGGCTATTATACCCCCATCTGATCATCTCTAATAAAACAGCAAATTACAGCTGGGATATTAATCCACATGTCACATGGCAGTGTTTCTAACTTATTTAAACAGTTGAAGCAAAGGCTAGAAATCAGAAGTCACTACCTCTGTCAACCATTCCACAGTCCTTCAATAATAGACTCTGGGTTTACTGCTCACAAGGGTAGGGTCCCACAACAGTGATTTGTATTATCTGTATTATGCATTGCTATAATATAATAGATGTGGGATTGCAACTACAGTTTATCTGTGAAATGTAGTGATCAGCCAAAGATCATCTGTGATGGAAAAGAAACATCTCTTAAACGAGTTGTTACTTTAGGTTTTCATTCTCTTATCGTTCAGAAATGGAAAACATTTCACTTTCTTCATACTGTTGCTGCAGCTCCTCTTTTCAGTCTCTGTCTGAAACATGTGGTTTTAACTCCTTTCCCTGTTCTGATTGGTCAGCTGGCTCACACTGTTGTTACTGGTAAACCGCTACCAGGGCGAGGAGGAAATGTCGGCCTCTAGTTTCTAAAGTGCAGACTGGCTGCTTGGCGAGCATTTTGCAATGTCAATGAGAAACATCGGCCGGAAAACTGACAACGCATTTTGGGAGTTCAGGTTTTTTCTGGGGGAGCTCCCTTTGACCTTTCACACGGGGTCCACAAAAGAGCCATAGTGGATATGTTGCTTCTTTTAGCACAAGTAGGCTAAACCTGTTATTTAATATGTAACAGAACAATTCATCAACTTCTCATTGTTCATGCCTGTCAGCTACATTTCCATGTCGGAGCAGGATGGGACTTAATCAGGCTGCCCCTTAAAACTGTGGAGTTTCCACCTTCTCATCCAACAAAGACACAGAATGATTTTAATGAGGATTTTAAAATACAGTGATTCAATACTGGATACAGATTTGATAAAATACTGTAGAACTACTGCAAAAATAGAATGTAGGAAAATTAATTTGGAAAAACAACAAAAAGAAATATAAACGTAGTCTCTGATCTCTTTCTTACTTTGACATCTGTGGATTTAACAAAGTTCATCCAAGTGTGACGTGTTTCACATGGTGCTTGAGGAAAGCCTTTAAATCAGAGCTAAAACTGGGGCTTAATGACAGCAAGAGATCTCATATACTGTAAAATAACAATGACTCACATAATTTAGAGGGTTTAATAATGTCTGATGCCAAAACAGAAGAAATCAGGCAACATTATTTGCAATTTATATTATAAATTCATCAGTAGAGGAAACAATCTATCAGCAATTCAAACAGTTCTTGCCTTTTACTTGGCCTGAAAAAACACTGACACGGGACATGATGACCACACCACAACAAATCTACAACAACAATGAATCAGAAACACAACCACAGCACAACACCAGACCACAGAGGAAACCTTTACCTCCTGTCGGCCCCTGTCAGCCTGCAGGGATGGGGAGGTGGAGGCTGGAGTGACTTCAGATGACCTCTGCTGAAAGACAGAGAGTTTCAGACACGGGGTGGGACACAGACGATACAGGAAGAGAAAGGGGGAAGAAAAACAAAGATGGACAGAGAGGAAGGACAAGGAGAGGAGAACGTGGAAAGAGAAAGAGAGACAGAAACTTGCAGAAAGAGAAAAGTGAAGCAGAGAGGACGCAGGGTTCATTATGAAGGAGAATTTCCTTCACTGCACACTTCACTTCAGTAGATGCTGTAAGCCAAGTTTGTATTCACCCTCACAGCTGAGGAATGAACGGTGTCAAGAAGAAAAAACGGTGGAGGGCAGAACATGGGCGACCTCTATTAACCTGCCATTGACCTGTGAGAGGCTTGGATTGAACTCTGCAGTCTTCCAGCAGCAGCCGCTCGCTGTTTTCTCAAAATGTTTGTTTTAATTCTCAAGAGTTTCTGCAGGGTGAGTGCGAAGGTGTCATCTGGACACTCTATTCCACATCCTTGGTCTCTTTTTGTCCATCTCTTATTAAAATTGTTCATGTTGCTTAGGCAATTACAAATCATTTCTGTTAGAAGCCTAGCATCATGTTTACTAGTGCACATGTGTGGAATGTGTTTGTGTAAATGTAATCCTACTTAAAGTATTCGTGAGTGTGTAAAATTGATACCTTGGAAGTACTATGAGAGATAGAGACATAAAGACAACATTGCTTGCTATAGTTTTGTGTATTCCACATTAGGAGTTGTTGCATCTGTCATTTTGTCTGCAAGTTTCTCACTGCACGTTCTACTGAGACAAGGTCATGATGTCACAAATTTCTGGGAGTCAGTCAGGATTAATCTGATCAGTATCAAAACCTGGAGACGGTTGATGGTTATTTCGGTCACTGCGCCAAGTTACTGTTGATCAAATGTGATCAAACCAGACTTGGATTTCAAAAGAGCAGACTTAGAATAAATATGACTGAAATTCAGAGAAATCCTCAAACCTGCAATATTTGATCTTTCATTTTCTTTAAAGTTTGTTAACACATTAACACTGTGTTATGTTTCTGACCTAATGTTTCAAATTTAAAGAGAACAGTGCAACATTCTTATCTGCCTGCTGGTAAAAGTGAGACGAAGTGACATCACTCAATATGTGTATATTGTGCATATTTATGGAGCTTCACTTCACTTCAGAACTGATCCTAAAACCATAAATTGCTGTATTCACAGTGTTTTTGTTTCAGGTGATGTAATTTATCAGCTTTTTTGTCATGTGACTCTAGTGTCAGCTGACTCAATAAAGACTTTTCAATTGCACTGAGTAGCACAGACTTCTCTGTTTTTTATAGAGCCTGCTGGTCGGCAAATAGTTTATTACTAATATTTATTCATTACGTTTAAGACATTTGTTAGTAAAGGTTTGGTATCCAATGATACTTTCTGTTTTATAATTTAGCCAATTTTTTTAGATTCAAGATTGTCATATACACAGCAGATGAACACAGTTTACAGCATGTAATGAAATTCTTACTTTGTTTTCAATCTCCCAGCATATAAATATTATAAAATAAAATAGTATTAAAAGAAATAGAAGAAATATATAGAAATAGAAAATAGTGCAAGTAATTCTTTACAAAATGTAATAAAATGTACTAAAATGCAGAGTAGAGGTAGATATGTTTAGTGTGCAGAGTGTACAGATTATTGTGATGGTCATTGCACATTGATTAATTCACATGTTTGTAGTCAAGCACATAAAGGGTTTTGGGTTCAATGATGTAGTTTTAAATTCTGGATAGTACTCTGTGGTTTTCCCCCTCCATGAGAGTGGTAACCACTTTCTCCCCTAACTCTACAAAAGAAACCAGATAAGCATGTTTGACAAAGTATTTGCCAATATCCACTCTCTTTTTGGCTTGTATGGTCTCCAACATCTTTGCCGACAAAACAAAGTATCGTATGATTTTGTACTTTTTCTCAGATAACTGCAGCGATCATCTCTACATTTCTGTGGGTGAAAGCTTCATTCCAAGGTCGAGAAATTATTCGATCAACTACGGTTATATAAAAAATATTGATTAAAAGCTACTGTAGCTTTAAGAGCACGTCCACCTGTGCATGAAAGTACACAGGCATTATCCTCAATTCATATGTGAGGCAGCCAAGCTCAGTGTGCATTTCTCCACAGACAGAGATTATCAGAGTGCCAGATGGACAGAAAAACAAAGAGGCAGGAGGGAGGTATAGAAAGGAGAAAGTCAAGATAACACTTTTTGCATGCCTGCCATATTAGCACACTCATGTTCATGGAGAAATCAAACCAAATTCTCCTTTTTCATGGTGGGTTCTGTTTTGTGCTTTCTATGGCCTGGTGCACAGAAAATTGATCATGAAAGCTTGAACCCAAAAAATTAACAAACACTTTCCACAATAATAACTGCCTCTTTCAATCTGTCTTCAATATTCATACATATCCACTCCAACATATCTGCCATGAGCTGCAGAAACACTTAAATAATGAGACTTGTCAGTTTACAGATGTAACTAAACCATTCTGACACCACCTTGGCCCTCAAATCTATTTTTTCCTTGTTTATTCTTCGCCATCTGGCTGTTGGCTGCCGTTCTTTAGCTGCCTCCCACAAGAGTTGTGCCTTGTCTGCACTTACTGCCTCTTTACACAACAGCTTAACATATTGATTATCCAAACAACAAAACAGTAAATCTAATCGTCATTGAAAAATATTCATATGCAAGAGGAGTAACAAATTAGAGGAAAAACCTGAATAAATGAGCAGAGAGGATGACAGCGCCACAGGGAACGAGGAGGTCACTGAAGGGTTTAATAAGTAGTCATCGTGTGAATCATGTGGCCTTTTCAGTCACTAGATCTCAACCCAGTTGTGACCTCTGGGAGATTTTGGATCAACATGTTACACTGCACTCTTCAACCCATCATTAAAACACAAAATGAGGGAATATCTTTTAGAAGAATGGTGTTCATCCCTCCAGTTGAATTCAGGCAATTATAGCACTAAAGGGATAGTTCTCCCAGAAATGAACAATACATCTGAAGAATAGCTCACCATTGACTTCAATTCGATTTGATTCTATACTGCAACAAAGTTTACCCCTGATACTCCTAAAGTGTTTCGTGAACTCAAACACTTCATCCACCCCTCCATCGGCATAGTGGTGAGTAGATAATGAGTGGCTTTTCATTTTCGGGTGAACCAGCCTTTTAATGTCAAGGTGCGATGAAGTTATTCTGGTGAATAGTGGTGACTATCATTTATTACCTCCATCAATGAGGTGATGTTTTCATCTTGTTTGTTAACTCTGTCAAGTGTGTTATGTTTTCGTCTGTGTTTATTTGTCTGTCTCAGCAGGAAATATTTTTTTTCTCAGAAAAGAATTTATGAATCTTGATTTTAAAAAATCAGGAAAGTTTAGGGGACTGAGTGTTTGCAGTTTGGTGCAGATCCAAATAAAAGTCTGGATCTAGTAAATTCGAACGTGGTTGGGGACAGTTGACAGGTAGGATATGCACTTTACTGTGTACCATTCTAGTGTTGGTTTGTCACATGATTGATTCCTGAGATTAATGATATTTTGGTGCCTGGAGCTGATTATTAGTTTTCAGTTGAAAAACTACAGCACTATGGTCAGTTGTTTGTCTGTATATATCAGCTCTGATATTATCTAACACAGCTAAAGACATTAAAGTGGATCTTGGTCTTACATCTGGTGTCTGGGTGACATGTCTCACAGTCACTATGTGCTTCAGTCGACAGTCCCAAATCACGACCTGAACCTGTTAGTGTGCAGACGTGGGCAAATGGTAAAATGTACAGCCGACAGAACCTGAAACCTTAAAGCTCTGTGGAAACCATCATTGAAATTCGTCTCTGTATAGTCTGTCTGGGCAAATCCTTCTGAAAACAATGTGCAGGAATCAAAGATCTTTATTAGTCCAACAGATCTACAGTATGTTTGCTGCTCACTTTATTACGATTCACTAATGTGGATCAGGACACCGCCCAGAAGATCCCTGATAATAGGTCGTCCATAAATCAAATTATTTGATTTGATTCAATCTTTCATGGAGACATATATGTGTTGTGTTGCTCCCAGATAAATGGGCTATCACGTTTTAAAGAAAACTTAAATACATTACAATTTGCTCACACTTATTAATAATCTTAACGCCACCCACACATCCAAACCCTAAACTACACAATAGAATCACTGTTATTCTGTTCATTTCTGGTGGTTAGAGTGAAGATACATCTCTCAAAGTTTGATGAGAGCAATTGATTTCACAAAGCGCCACAGGACTGACCTGCATTGCTTCAGGAAAAAGAAAAAAATGAAAGTAAAAAAGCTCTGCAACAATTTGAAAGAAGCAGAAAGGCAACGTACTGTAGTGGTTGAAAAGGAAGTATAGTCATTACCTGCTGTCAGTAAAAGTCAATGGAGAAGGATGTTATCAGTGCAGTGTTGTGATTCCTCCTCCGTTTCTCTCTTGATACAAACAGAAACCACGTCCTGTGTGGTTTATTTACACAATGTTTGCTAAGGTGCACGCCACACACTTGTGTTAACACTGTTAATGTGACGGAAGTGGTGACAGAGAAGTGGCAGAGGTGATGCCGTGGGAGGGTTTTGCTCCTTGTTGCTCTTTAACAACTGACTGTTACTGTGAGGCAGCAAACACACTAATCCACCCCTACAGTGTCACTTCTACACATGATTCACCATTTGCCATAGCTCACTAGCTTTTTTTTTTTTTGCCTTATCAAAAGCAACAACAATAGCCTGGTTTTCAGACAGAGGAGCTGCCCACAAAAGATCAGGCTGACAGTATCTCCCACTGCGGTACAGACTCAAACTGCTGCACTTACACACTGTAAATATTGAATTTGGTCTGATCATCGCAGTTTAATTATTTAAATTCTTCCTACTTTCAACTAGTGTGAACTTTGAATAAAAAAGTGGCCTTGTTTTGTAACAGCTTCATTGTTTTTAATGTTGGATCTGATGTGA